AAACTGGAAATTTTTCGGGAAAAAGTGGTAGGAAGTTGGGAAAATCTAGGAAAGTGGTAGGTAGCATGGGGGGGGGTCGTATTTTTCAGGAAATGATCACAACGCGATGGCGTGCTCTGGCGTCGGGACAATCCGGGGGAGATCGCACTTGGTCGCTAAAGATCGTACTTGCTTATGAGAGGGGCCTCTACTTGCATTTAGAATTTTTTCGAGCCCCGTATCTGCCAACGTCGCAGCATTGCAATTACTATTTCTGACCATATAGCTACCATTTTTAGTTGTTGGTTCTTTTTTGATTGGTGACGCGCAGTTTTTGGGGAAGAACCGGACAGTTTTTGGGGAAGAACCAGACTTTTGGGAAACAGGGAAAAGCAGTAGGAAGTAGAGAAAACTTGGGAAGAAGGCAGGTAGAATAGACAAGGGGGTTCGTGGCAGATAAGGAATGGGGAAGGGGTCGTACTGACGTTGCCATTTCACACATCACGACACTGTCGCCCTGGTCGGCGGCTTCGCAAACCACTGCTCCTTATGGTTGTTCGGAGCCCCCTCCTACCGCGTCGGCTCGCCAGCAAATTTTCGGTGAAATGGATGATTGGTCGGTTGTGGAATCGTACCGCAGTAGGAAGAAATTTGGAGTTGCTCATAGCTAGCGAAAATTCTCCCCAACGCCAGCACTTGAGCTACTCAGTGACCTTTATGAAATCTACTATCTCGACAAGAGGGAGCAGACGAGCAGCACGTGTCATGTGGCCGTGTGGCGTGTCAAATGGTGGGCGGCGCAACTAGAAATTTTGAGCTATCACAAGTCTCTAGCTTCATTACCTTTATTTTAAAACGGCGAAAATGATTCTTGTACCGCTGCAGACCCCGTTCAAGCACAATAATCCATCCCTTTTTTTCGATTTTTTGGCCGTATCTTCGGAGCTCCTTTCACATTTCTCGCGCTAATTTTTTTTCCATTCTGATGAATTTCTATTGCAGACAATTCACTTGATGCACCTGCTCATTCTGGTGACTTTGTTGATGACGAAGATCGCGAAGCGGCATCGGCTGTAGAAGAAGCTGACGATGAAGGCAGAACGGACACTGGTGGCAGTTCAACCGCAGGAAGTTCTTCGGCTCTTCGTCATACCACCACGTCGTCGCTAACAACATCCAGTGCCGGTGGATCTTCTGCACCGCAGACTGCTAGACTGCGGATCCCGATTGTATATGGCGCCGAAGATCAATGCTCGAGCAGGTAATACCCTAGTCCTTGACTCCTGATTGATTTGGGCTAAATTGTAGATTACAGTAATGAAAGCGGAGCGGCTCAATTTGCTGCACGACGTCGTCGTCCCATTGGACTCTATCAGCCAGGTATTCGCCATGTAGGGCCCAGCAGTGCTCATCAGGATATTCCAGCGGAAAGACTGACCGCTAGGATGAGAGGAAGAGCTCGTGCTGCTCTTCGTGGCCGAGGAAAAGGGCGAGGGGCCAAGCACTGAAATCAGCACATTGAACATCTGGTAAAAGAAAATTGATTTCAGATAATTACTTAAAATTGCGTATTTACTCCACAGTGCATCGTTTTGCGTAGCCGATTTGTTCCTGTTATTATTGCTGTGCTGTTGTTATTGTTTTCTCGGCGCAGTTCAGCTTGGTGGGGG